TGTCAGATGGGTAGAATTGGAAACGTTGCGTCTAACAGTTTGTATGATCTTCCCAAAACCAACAATGTGACAATCACACCCACTTCTTTAAGTGAGAAAGTGCTCTTAAAGTCTCTTTTTGCATTTATTACACAACCATTTCTGACACGCTTCAAATCTAAGAGCAACTTTATTAATGCCTTCCAAGAAAGAATGTTTGATGATCTGCACTATTATCTTCATATTTAATGCCATTTTGTGTTGTAAACTTGTTTGATCTTTGCACCACATCTGCATGTGCCTGCCTTAAACTTCAACAAGTCCCAAACGATGAAGGCTTACAGTGTAGGCATTCAGTCAAAGGTGGACATGGACAGAAAATTGAGAAATCCATTATAGTGGTCCTGCTGTGATCATTGTCACCACTTGCTCAGAGAGTCAAAGCTACTGACTGTCAAAGGAAAGTAAAGCGTTGTGGGATTTTATAATGCTGCAGTCAAGAAAGCTATAAAACTGAAGGTTTATATGGTTTTGAGGAAGATTTGGGCAGAACAAGATGTATGATTATGAATTTGGCGGTGATGCCATCAGGATAGAGGGGTGTATAGGATACTGCAATGTTGGGTTTATGTTTTGCTGTCTGGTTAGGAGGGTAGTGGTTAAGCTATTGCTTTTTATTCCATTGGCATTACACCCTACAGTAAATGATATCACCCCCTGTCTCCCTTTACTCTGTGTCCCACAGCATGGGAATAACACTGCCTGTGTGACACAAACAGTTAACTTCACATTAGAGTGTCCATCAACAGGGCTTCAACTCCACACAGACTCTTTTTTGTTCATTAATAATCACACCTTCAGCGAAACTCCAAAGCAGCCTTCTCCCCAACGCGATGGCAGGAATGCTAATGACACACACTGCGACTGTAACTGTGTGTCAGCGGATAGACAGACAGCCAGCTGAGGCCATTAGAGGAAGACAGAGACAATGGCAGCTTTTATTTCTCCACCACACATTCCAGTCAAAGGAAGGAGTTGGCCTGCCCGTCTGCTGTTTGAACCAGAAGCAGACTAGTTCATCGTGTCTGGGTCACAAGTACTTTCCACAGCTATTGTCATTTTGTACCTCTGTGCAATGTCATGTCACAATGCAGAAGTTTCCAATGCGCCTTTATATTTTTCTTACTACATTTTTCCTTGAATCGACGCCACGGCACCAAATGTCTCATCAGTTATATCATTATTATGGATTAATAGTGGTCTGGTGTCACTGGCAGTACGTTTGACACAGCGCTAACCCCTGGTGATCGCAGCTCGTCATGTCACTGAAACTGAATTCATAAAGTCATAACTGTTAATATTAAAAGCAACGAATGAGGAACAGTGGCTTTCATTGTTAACAGTTAGACTTCCCTGTCTTTCTTTGTACATAATAAAGGGTAAACCACAACAGCTACTGCAAATGTGACATCAAATAATAACTTCCTGTGCACCTCAGACTTTAATCAACTATTTCAAAATACTAATAAATGAGCAATTTGAACAAAAAGCACATCCATCCATCCATCCATTATCTATACACCGCTTAATCCTCATTAGGGTTACAGGGGAGCTGGAGCCTAACAAAAAGCACATGAAAAACATAATTTATGTTACAAACCACAGAAAATAAACAATTTTATTGGCCACAGTTTGATAAATATTGTCACAAAGAAAAAACTTTAATAGGTTTGCCAAATAAAGTCTGTCTATATAATGAAGTTCAGCAGGTCTTTCTACAAACTACAGCGGCCACCCACACAGCTTTTGCAACAAGTCACGTATCAGCAAAAAGAAGAATGGAGCGAGCAGGGCAATCTGCAGATATACTTAATTTAAACGTTTGTTGCGCTCTAGGCAAATACTTTCTAATTCTGCAGAGTAAGTAGACACCTGTGAGATCTGCAAAGTACTTTTGAACTCTGAATCATGGGGTGAATGTAGGGAGCACTGAGGTTTAAAAAAAAAAAGACTATTAGCAATCCAATTTTCCACTAAGTACATTTATGCAACTTTGACACACTTTAGGGCAAACTCGTGAAGCCCAGACAGGGAACTTTGTGCCACTGGAATCCAACAGAAGAGCCTCCCTTACCTTGTGCTGCACTGTTACATCTCACTTCTTGCACTGGCACTGAACCGTGTCATTAAATACAAATCACTGGAACTACAGACAAGGTTTCAATTATCATCATTAGCTTTTTGCATTCCTTTACAATAACACCAAGTGTTACTTTAGACTCATTATTGTCATCACTCATCGCACAGGGGGCAGAGATATCGGTTTCTATACCGACATTAGCCTCAGCAGACCAACATGCGCCGCTTCACACCACGCAGTTAGTGAGTGAGGCCTGTCAAACGTTTTCTCCACTAATGTTCTCTCCTCCTTCTTGCTGTCACTATCACTCTCACACCTGACATGTGCCAAACGCAACAGGTTCGGGCTCATGCTTTGTGGGATGGTGGAAGGAGTTCTTTGTTAAGTAGGAAATTACTAACTGAAGTAATTCTTAATAACAAGGTTGAGGAAGTGAAGTAACAGATGGCAGCAAAATGTGCAAAACTAAATAATGAGGCTGAAAATTTCAGAAGTTCAGAAAAACCCTACATGAATCTCAAAAGTGCATTGTATCTAAACACCTAGTTTAACCCATGAAATCTGAGTGGTGTTTGTCAGCCTCTGTCAAGCTGTGATTTATGGGTAAATAAATATGATGTGTAGTTAGTTCCTCCATCTCTGTTTCTTCTGGTTTTGTTCTTTTGTAATATCTTAGTGTTGGGGAAAAAAAACAACACCTTTTCACCCAGGACGTGTTGTCATCCAGCATTTTTGAAAGTAATTTTACCCTCAAGGATGCTCCTTTTCTTTTATTTGTAAAAGGTCAGCAATGCCAACATTATCTCAGATGTAAAGAAGCGAGATTCTCCCCCCCAGGTGCCCTCACATATCCATGTCTGCGGGTGTGGAGATGGTGTCAGTGAACGCATCCTGTTGTCCACGCTCAGGAGAACCTGTTTCCTCCCGAGCCGTGGCTCCCAGCTCCGACCCAGTCTTCCTCGTGTTACAAAATACACACCGAGACAATGGCACACACGTTGGACACGTATGAAGCAGACACAAACACACACATATTCTCAATATTTTAAACAAACACATGGTGCAGGATGAAACACCTGTGTTGCGCTTCCTTGACTACGGGGAAACCTTACGAGTAATCATGGCTGCACTCAGACAAGACAATATTCCTTCAGTTGGGCAGGTGTTTTTAAGACCATACATCACATGACCTGTTTTGGTAACCTTGAAAGATCTTTGACATTTACTATATACGAAAATATACACAGCCGGGCCCAGGTGATACGCTCTAGGCCTCAGGACAACACAAATGTCTTGGTGTCAGGATCGTAAACTGGGGTTTGGAAAAATCAGATTTTGCAACTGTAAGCCTTGGTTACCACAGCTTCCAGATTGCTCTAAGTTTCTGGGAAAAGATTTAATATCAGACCTTACTGAGTTACACGTAATCTATCATTGAAATGTCTATTAACAAATAGAGGGAGTTCTTGGAATCACTGTTAGAGTACTTTGGGACATTTGAAATAGTTTAAAGTCTTGTTTTGTTTATTTTTTTATTTTAACCTCACTTGCTTTGTTTGAATATGTGATATACATGATCTCTACTTCATGTTAGTAGGTTAGGGGAGTATTATTTTATTGGAAATGTTCATTTTATTAATGTAGTTTTAGAGTATAGCAAGTATGCGGTATTATTATGCAAATAATTCAGTTATTATGTGTACTTATTGCAGATCTACAGAGAGATAAAGGAATGAAAGGCCCATAAAATAAAACGTGTGCATTAATTCAAACAGAGGAATGGAATTACAGTCTATTTATTATCTGTCTATGCTGTAAGAAGCTCAATAATGAATCTAAACCACCACAGCCAAACTCACAGAAAAGATAACAAAGTCTTGATAAAACTGTCAATAGCCTGGAGTTATTTACCACAAACTCACAAATCTTCATATGTGGAGTGCAGACAGTCTCTCTGAATAGTTCCAGGGTCGTTGTGTAAACACACGTGAAGAAGAGCCCTTGACCAAACAAAGATTTAAAGTGGAGATAGAGAAGAAGAAGAAGGAAAAAAAGTCGAGAAGTGAAGCACTTCTGCTGAAGGAGTGGTTGAGATAAAGAGAGGGGCGCGCGCGCACACACACACACACACACACACACACACACACACACACACATTCCCGTTGCGCGCACACAGGAGAAGGAGGAGGAGGAACCAGAAATCTTCGCTCATTTACTTAACATCACTTCCCCACCGCCAGGAAAGCAAACACAACTGCTGAAGCTGCGGAGGAAGAGAAGTGAGATCGATGTGAGAAGCTGTCACCTGGAGCCTCTCGAGCTGAACTTTTTCTGTTTTTTAGTCGTTTTTTTCCCCTCTCTTCTTCTTCTTCCTCTTCCTCGTCTTCTTCTTCTGCGGACTCCGCAGCAGCAGCAGCAGCAGCAGCTCTGTGTGTCACTGATCAGCTCGAGCGGGACACTTGCGGAGGGAGACAGTGTGCGCCGGGCATGGAGAGGAAACTCTGCTCCGACTGATTACCGGATTTGTTTTTCCTGCCTGTGCTTCATTCTAAATAATGGTGAGTGAGAATCGTCTCGTCTTCCACGCAGGAAAATGTTTATTTACTTCTCCTCCCTAATTAAGCATCACGTCGCTGTGAGTTTCCTGCGCTGTTTATTTGCACCCAGAAAATGACCTAAACAGCTTCTGCAGATTCCTATCCATGTTTCTGTTCAAGTCAACACTGCTGCTCGAAAGTAATTATTTTTCAGTAATAATATTCAATTTAAAGTTAGACAAGAAGATTAGTCAGCTGTTAAATTTAAATCCACAACATGCAGCTTAGAATGTAATATAAAATATTTTCAATTTGCTTCCTCCAGTTATTTCACAGTTAATTATAATTAACCAACTAGAATATAGATTAATTTAACAGTGGCAATATTGTTAGAGTGTTTCTCTTTATATAGTGGGTGAGATTTTTTTTTAAAACTTTCTAAATGTGTTTTATTATTACGCCAGTCCTCATTCCAAATGCCTGTTAAACACATTTGCCATTTAAAGAAACTACACTAGAAAAAGGTTGGATCACATAACCGTTAATAGTATATTCACACAATTTCTACCTGCCTGTTAAGCTTCCAAATGTAACATTTTTATCTAGTCATTTATAAAAGCAGAAAATCCCCAAATTCACCATCAACAAAGCGATTATTAGTGTCTGGGCTACAAGTGTGTGAGGGGCCTTCTGCTTTGATTGAGCGCCTTTGTTTTTCTTGGTGCTGCCTGAATCCTTGCAACACTTTTTTTTTTTTTTTTTGCTCTGGCCTATAAGTACAGAAGATTACACCCAAATCATTGGCACCCCTTCAGCAGCCATGCAGGGACCCTCATTAACTAAATTAGGGGAGCCTCACTAAGCATTTTTCAAAGGCTGGTATTCATATTTTTCAAGGACCCCTTCATGGCTCCAGACTAGAAAAGTCACTCTGTGTGTTTTGCCAGCCATTTAAATCACATTTAAACACTTCTATCAGCTGCACAGTCGGAGGAACAGTGATTAATGGGGCCCCTGGTTTGGGGGAGAGAATCGTGTAAATATATTTATTCCAACTAAATAAATAGGACATTGCATTTGCTTGTTTTTTTTTTTAGAATCTGCTCAGATATTTGTCCTTTGATTCATTTGAAAATATATGAGATTTTTTTTTCAGTTTAAAATTAAAATTAAATTAAATTAAGCTATCATTTTTGCGACAGATTTTTGTCTTCATAGACTGACTTTTTTTAAATTACCATAATTGTTGATGCAGGGCAAACAAAGCTTAGCTACAAAGCAAAGTGTTTCCCATATTCCAGTTCTCAAAAATATCACCCTAATTTTTGAATTTTCTAAGACACATGTCTCTACTTGTCAGCTTCAATTATCTGAAATAAAGCTGGAGGGGTAATAGCCAGCCAAATCTTCATTTTAGATAGTTGCTGTATCAGATTCAGATCCTTGACAGACTCTAAATCCTACTAAATCTCCAGATCTACTTGTACTTTCACCCTCACAAAACACGTCCAGGGGTCTGATGGAGGCAGCTGGGAGGTGTGCTCAGACCACATACCGAAGGTGTGTGCTGCTCAAGTGTGTTTGATTTAACACTGCGGTTCGTCTCCTAATAACATTAGGCCCCATTTCTGGACTCCCTTTTCCATGGCCGGCCCGAGACCCTCTCAGTGTTTCTCCCCTCAGCCTTCATGGTTCTTATTACTAGCTCTAATAAATTGTGAATAAGCAGCAGCCCGAAAAGTCCCGGGTTGTGGAGAATTCCCCATCCTGTAGCGCAAGGCACCCCCTCTTAAGAAAACACAAATTAATTCCAAACCCCTCTGTAGCCAAACGTTTCTGGAATGATAAATATTTTCATAGGAAGCTCGGCTCTTCCTGACTTTATCTGCACCGATTTTTATTATATTTCTTCACAGCTGCACAGTTCTTGATGTCTTTCAGCTTCTGTTCATCTCCTGCCCTCTCTCTTTTTCATCCTCCTCACCTCCCCCCCCTCTCTCTCAATGGGAGTCAAGTAGCCTTACTTACTTGAATTCAAGGTAAGAGCAAGGCTGTTGTGTTGAAGTAAATCGTATTAAACTATATCCAATCCACCAGTGTGAAGTAGCGGTATCATCTCACTGCTAAAAGCTGGTTCACTGTGTCAGTGTAGCTCACTGTTTTATTTGCTGCATTGAAGTGAGTGAGTTTGATACTTGGTGCAGAAAAGTTTTAATCTGAGTCATTTCAATAGTGCAGTTGTATCATTTACACACGTTTTCACGTTTTTGCTCAACAGTCTGAACAGAGCAAATCTGTAGAAAGAAAAGACATTTACATGACTGTGTTCCAACACTTTGTTCTTACTGCTTGACGAGAGGTCGAGGCAACAAGTTTCACCATCTACCCCAGTTTGTCCTGGTTTTAATATTGAGAAGGACACACTGGTTAGGTGGGACAACAAAGTTAAGACAAAACGTCACTATAAAAGACTTCAATATTTATTTTTTCTTAAGTTATTAAATTTACCTCATAACCACATATTTTTCTTTTAACGTCGGACTGTGTCCATAAACCTGGTGGAGGTGTGATAGTGACACACAGAAAAATGTAAATGTTATTTATAAAGGAAAAAAAAAGTCAGCAAGTAATGATAATGCTCTGCTATGTGTGGAGAAAAGCTACAGCAGAACAAATGTTACTTCCAACTATAGGCTAATAAAATCGCAAATTTCAGTTTCTTTGCTGAGTTGTGAGTTTAGGGTTTCAGCTCTTGGAACAACTGCTTCTAACGTTATACAACTTCAGAAGAAGCAATCACGAATGTAGCCTGATATGTGCAGCTGTCTACACAAACTGCAAGTCCAACCAAATCAGAACTCTTTCACTTATTCTCTGTAAAAGTTCTTGATTAAAGGTTTAGTAACGTAAGATGGGGATGTTGCTAAAGAGAGGCCGTACATTAAGGATGAGAGACACTGATTTTGAGTCTTCAACAAAAAGAACTGCTCCCTCTCTGGTCCTCATTGTGTGTTTTCTCCGCTGAGTTTCTCCTTTGTGTTTTTCTACAGTTATATTTTAGCAAATATGCGATAGAGGCTTGAATTATCCGTTCACTTACACTAGAAGTTCTGTTGCAAGGCCTTGGAGGTGTGTGCACAAACCGAGCAAAAAGTCAGGATTGGAAAGAGATGGCAGCGTCTCTGTTGGTTGATCTGCTACCCATCGAACAGTTCGAGGCTAACCAAACTTTCCTCTGAATGTCTTCCCCTCTCCCGCCCTTTACCTCCCCCCTTTTTAATTCCCTTAAGTCCCAGAGAGCTCCCAGCAAGGCCTTGTGGTGATGTGTGTGTGTGTAGGTCTGTGTGCGTGTAATAAAGCCTGGGCTGTCAGCAGACAACAGCTGTCTCTCTGGCGATCTCCGCTCGCCTTATCTCGTCTTGAGAATGGTGAAGCCACACACATCGCAGCATAGCCTGCAGTGACCATATTTCATTGTGTTTTTTTTTTCTGTGCCTTTTTAACACGGGGGTATTTTCCACTGAGAAGAGAATTTAATCATTCGCTGTGGTTCTTGGAATATTTTTATAGGTGTCAGAGTTTTTCTTACTGTTTCTCATTGAACCCTGTCCTAGATGTAGTGTTTTTTTTCATCATTTTTCCATATGTTTCACGCCAACTCACACTTGATAATATCTCATTTGTCTTGCGCTCCTATCTCCCCATGAAGGCATAAATCGCTCTTACTTCTCTTCTCTCGTGCTTTCTCTGTCGCCTCACGCACACTTACACTGTAAATTTACCAGTAAAGAAGTAATTGGACCTGAGTCCGTCTGTAGCGCCTGTGAGCTCCGGCTACCAGCGAGTTCTGTCTGGCCAGCTGTTAGCAACTAGGGCGGCCGCTCGCCATCATGTGCCGCGCAGACTGATCGAGGGCAAACCTTTTTGTCCTAATGACTAATAAAGCAGCGAGTCTGTGAGTGTGTGTACATTTGTGTGTGTGTGTAGGTGTGTGTGTGTGTTCATTAGAGAAGGCCGGAGCACTCATGCAGTCAGGCGTGTGTCACTTTTGAATGTGTGAGCGTGTGCACAGCAACCCTCCCATCACTGGACCAGATGTTTTTTACCTGGGAGCCAGACCACCATCTGACTGGGGTCAGCCCAGTCCTCCAACCCCACACCCGCTCCTCTGGGCTGCTGGGAGGTCTGCCAGCTGTCCCTCACTCTGACCCCCGTCCCGGGGCACTGGTTCTGGGGGGAAACAGAGCCTGGGCCTTGGGGTAGGTGGTCCTTTTTGGATTTGGCAATATCACAGGGGGGAAATTATAAGGGATATTATTAGTGTTAGTCCTCGGACGCAGGCAATGAACCCCAGTGTGGAAGAACGAGAGAAAGGATTAGGGAGGCAGTAAAAGGAATGCCGATTTTTTTTTGAGAGGTAATTTAGAAAGGCGCAAAGAGTGTGTGCTGGAGAAACAGGGAGATAAAGATATTGGCATTGTCGAATGAAGAGGTTTTGATTACTGAGGGACAGAGGGGGCTTCTGGCATTAAAGCAGTCTTGTTTCAGGAGTTAGTCAAGTGAAAAGAAAAGGCCACCAAGTCTGGAGGTTAAGTTACAGAGTGCAGACAGAGTCGACAACAGGTTCACTGCTGCCAGAGATTAATTGGAGCCTCTTGCAGATCGACTTCTGTTTCTTTCAAAGTAGCTCTGTACCTGTCATCGTACGACTTCACTCTTTTTTAAAACAACTAGCAGGAGTACCGGCCAGGTGTGGTTGTGTGTGAGTGTTTCGATTAATTGAGGAAACAGCTGCAGAGGCTTTGAGGGCTGTCAATAAAGGGATCAGTCAGTCAGTCTTAAACCGGTTGCTCAGGTTTCCTAATTTTTGGTTAAGGCTGTTGTAGGTCAGGTGGTAGTAGAAGCTGGGAAGGTTTGCATTCTGGCTACAAAGGAACTGATTGAGATGGGTCAGGTTGACAGTGAGCAGGTGACTGGAGCATCCTACACCTGCGTTTTTGTTTTTTACCGTCTCAGCAAAC